TTATTAATCTTAGGTATTCCAATATTTAATAACAGGATGTTCAAATCTAGAGTTGCAGCTGTGTTATTTAATGAGCTAACATGAACTGAGACTTTTATTTTTTAAACAAAGATTAATAACTTTGTTAAGTAGCAAATGTAGCTATTGCTCATTGTGAATGTTAATGCATTATCTAAGGTTAACTAATGAGGTCTTATTGTAAAGTGATACCTATTGGTCTTTATAGTTCTTTTGCACTTTAATTGGTGTAAAAAATGTAACTTTATAAATTTTTTTGTGTATTGCTTTATTGTATTTAAATGTTCAGTTATTTTTGTTATAAGAAAAAAGTTATTAAACCTGTTATACTGTATTATGACAACACTTTTTAAAACTAAATTTCAATATCGCGATAATACCGTATACCGTGATAAAAGCATTAGCAATTAATCACAACATGAAAATTTGATACCGGCATATCCCTACATCCACTATTATCCAAATAATGTTTTTTTTGAAAGAAGTTTCCTAGCTCACCAAGATGGCATTTTTTTGATAAAAATACAGTAAAAACAGAAACTAGATAGTAAAGTTTGTAGACAAACTTTAAGTTGGCTTGAAAAAGCCTAGCCAGAAAGTTTGTAAACGTTTTAAAAGCTTGAAGTTTGAAGGTTTTCAGTTTGAAGTAGTTTGAAATACTTAAAATAGTTTTAAAGATTAAAGTTTGAATGTTTTGAAGGCAATACAGTCTATCAGAAGAACAGACATAGAAAAACAGATCGTTAGGGTACCTGGGGTGGCTTCTAGGGTGGTTGCTAGGGTACTCAAGGTGTTTGCTAGGGTGTTTCTAGGGTACCTGGGGTAGTTGCTACGGTATTGCTATGTGGTTGCTAGGGTACTTGGGGTGGGTGCTAGGCTGTTGCTCTGCAGTTGCTAAGGTAACTGGGCTGGTTGCTAGGGTGTTCAGTGTGGTTGTTAGGTTGTTGCTATGCGGTTGCTAGGGTATTTAGGGTGGTTGCTAAGAGGTTGCTATGCAGTTGCTAGGGTATTCTTGGTGGTTACTAGGGTGTTGCTATGTGGTTACGAGGGTAGGTGGGGTGGTTGATAGGGTGTTGCTAAGCTACCTGGGGTGGTTGCTAGGGTGTTGCTATGCAGTTGCTAAGGTACCCAGGTTCGTTGCTAGGGTGTTGCTATGCGATTGCTAAGGTACTCAGGTTGGTTGCTAGGGTGTTACTATGTGGTTGCAAGGGTAGCTGGGGTGTAGCTAAGGTGTTGCTAGGTGGTTGCTAGGCTACCTGGGGTGGTTGCTAGGGTGTTGCTATGCAGTTGCTAAGGTACACTGGGTCATTGCTAGGTTGTTGCTATGCGGTTGCCAAGGTACTTTGGGTGGTTGCTTTGGTGTTACTATGTGGTTGCTATGGTACCCAGGCTGTTGATAGGGTGTTGCAATGTGGTTGCTACTGTACTTAAGGTGGTTGCTAGGGTGTTACTATGTGGATGCTATGGTACCTGGGTTGGTTGCTAGGGTGTTGCTATGGTACCCGGGGTGGTTGCTAAGGTGTTGCTATGCAGTTGCTAAGGTATCCAGGGCCATTGCTAGGGTGTTGCTATGCCATTGCTAGGGCACCCAGAGTGGTAGCTAGGGTGTTGCTAGGCTACCTGGGGTGGTTGCTAGGGTGTTGTTATGGTACCCAGGGTGGTTACTAGGGTGTTACTAGCATGTTTTTAGCATGATTAGCAAGTTACTAGCATGTCTCTAGCATGATTAACATGTTGCTAGCATGTTGGTAGCATGATTAACAAGTTACTAGCATTTTGTTAGCATGTTTCTAGCATAATTAGCATGTTACTAGCATGTTGTTAGCATGATTAACAAGTTACTAGCATGGTGTTAACATTTTTAGCATGATTAACAAGTTACTAGCATGTCTCTAGCATGATTAGCATGTTGGTAGCATGATTAACAGGTTACTAGCATGTTTCTAGCATGATTAACAAGCTACAAGCATGTTGTTATCATGATTAGCAAGTTACTAGCATGTTGTTAACATGATTAGCAAGTTGCTAGCATGTTTCTAGCATGATTAACATGTTACTAGCATGTTGTTAGCATTATTAGCAAGTTACTAGCATTGTGTTAACATTTTTTAGCATGATTAGCAAGTTACTAGCATGTTTCTAGCATGATTAACAAGCTACAAGCATGTTGTTATCATGAAAGCCAATCAGCTTAGGCTGGTTTTAGCTGTTTTTTTTTCAGTTGGGAGTTGTTAAGCTTTGCTATAGCAATAGACAGCTTAAATACACCATAAGATTCATCGTACAAAAGTTTTGACCCCCTCAATGAAAGTTTGTAGCTTTATAAGTGTAGGAGGAGATACACTTTAAAATTTGGTCTCAGAAGAAGAAGTTTAAATAGGATTTCAGTAAGTTGGCTTTTTCAAGCCAACTTAATAATGTGAAATATTATTACAATTAAATAGTTTATTTTTTTCTATTTGAATATATATTAAAAATATATATTTAATATATGTAATTTAAATGTAATTTCTGTAATTCTGTAAGGCTGAATTTTCAGTATCATTACTCCAGTCTTCAGTGTCGCACGATCCTTCAGAAATCATTCCAAACCGCTGATTTGATGCTCAAGAAACCTTTCTTAATATCAGTGTTTCATATTTTGTGGACATCTTGATACGTTTTATGAATATAAAGTTTAAAACATTATAAATTGTCACTTTTAAAGGGGTCACATTATGCGATTTAAATTGTTCCTTTCTCTTTGGAGTGTTACAAGCTCTTGGTGCATAAAGAAGATCTGTAAAGTTCTTTTTAGCAGCATCATATGACCCCTTTAATCAATTTAATGTATCCTTGCTGAATAAAAGTACTAATTTCTTAAATCATTAAATATATGTATATACAGTATATATATATATACTGTATATATATATATATATATATAAAATCTTACTGACCCCAAACTTTCGAACAGTAAATTGTAATTCACAGGTTTACCTCAAAATAGGCTTTCCACATAATATATAAACACATTTTCTGCTATATTTTCAGCAAAAAAATAGTGTATTGTAATATATTGATTTACCATGATATAAAATTACTCGTCTTACATTTCTGTCATACCCTTATGCTTTCTAAGAAAAGTATGCAAGTAAGTGCAAAATCTCTGAAACTCGATTTAAAAAAGCAGACTTCAGTTTGAGACCAACAACGGGAGGTTGAGCTGGAAAAATGACTTCATGTCCCTGAGAGCCCACATGTCAGGCTGGACTAGACGAGCTCCCAGTTCACCCAGCAGAGTGAGCTAAACCATACTAAGAGACGTGGCATCTCCCGGTGCATCTGCAACAGTCGCTGAGTTACATCCTGGGAATTTCCTTGAGATAAAGGGAGCAACTGCTGAAAAGTTGCCACTGATTTTACGATGATATTGTGTGGCTTGTTTTGCGGAGAATTGCTATAGCTTTTTCAAGAGAATGTGACTTGTGATTTCTGCCTGGTAGATTAAAAAACCCTTACATAGACAGACCTGAGCCATATTGGACATCAAATATCACTTTTTTTTTTTACTTGAGCCAGCAACCACCGAACAATGGACTGACAAACACCCAGTACACCTTAGCTTAATCAATTATACTGTATTTTAATAGTTTGAAAGTCGATAATTTGACTCAAAAGTTGATAGTGAGCCAAAGGAGCCAGACCTGTAGGTAAGTAGGGAAAGCCTCCTCCAGTTTGGTCTTCTTTTTCCTGTAGCGTTTCCGTATTTTAACCTCAGGATTGTCGGGAAAATCAGACAAAGGATGTTTTACATCCATTGGAGTGTCAGGCGCTTGGTCGCCCCAGCCTATCAGGACAGAAAAGAGTAAACATATTCATTCTTTACATTAAAATTCTTTGTAATCCAAAAATAACAACATATATAATACATATATTCATGCATTTTTTGGTTTGACCTCAAATTTATTAGTGTGGATGTTAATGATAGATCAGTCTACATTAGGGGTGACGTGATCCAGCCTTATGCACTTCTGCAGTGCTTGTGGACATTTGACAGCAGTTGTTACATTCAAAAAGATATTAAAAAATTATGAAGACTGAAGATATTGATTTAAGATCCAACATAAGCTACCAGAAAGTCATCGTGCTGAAAGTGTTGAACGATACTCACTCTCATCTTTGCCTTGCAGGGTCTCAGAGCCAGCGGAGTCCTTCCTGACCAAGGCCTGTTTGGTTCTGCCCGGACCCATCCGGTTCCTCTGTCTGACCATGAAACCTCCGATACCTGAATAAAAGCAGAAACTTCAGTGGAATAGATTTTTGTTCAATAATATTTTTTCTTTTACATTTTGTATTTTATAGTACCAATTAATATTTATGTAATAATTATGATCCACTTTTTCCCATTGAAAACAATACAATATTCTTTCTATTATATATATATATATTTTTTTTTTTCTTTTTTTTTTTCTTCAATTAATGCAGTATTTCAGGTTAAAATAGAGACTAGCTGTGCACTTTTTTCTGAATCATGGCTGATTTGTAGATTGTACACACATTTTTTTTTCCTTTTCATATTTTTGCTATATTTTTTCATATATTCGTTAGCTGATATAGATATTACATATCACAATTTTGTTTTTATTAGATTAATAAACAAAACAAGAGAAGCTCTGTGCCTTCTACTCTATTCATTTTTCTAATTATGCATAATAGCCCTGTATAAAGTAAAAGCATTGTTTTGGAAACGAGGAACGCTCTCATACAAAGGAAAAAGTGTTTGGTTATACTCTGCTGAAGCATCTTGTCTCTCACCTGGGCGGTAGGGCTTCCTCTTCCTCTTCTTGCAGGGATCTGTGTCTTTAGAGTCGTCTTCTGCTGTGGCCTCTCTCTCGGGGCTGGAGTCAGACTTCCCCTCACCGTCCACCATCTCCCCTTCTGCTGCAAAACACACACAGACAAACGAACACACACACACAGCTGTCAGGAATCACACACCTTTAAGCAAGCCCAGACTACAGGAAGAGAACTGTAAAATTAGACACTTTAATACTGTATGTCTTATACAATAGATTTAGTCCATTTGTGCTAAAAAGAACATCTCAAATCACTATAATGAGCCGTCTACCTAGTTTTATGGCACTATAGGTGCACTCCCAATGTGAAGGCTGTTTTAAATTGTAGGTAGAGATTATGCTGCCTTCTACGATACATCATTTTCAAAATAATCACATGGATCTCTATAATGCTCACCAAAGTTCACCAAAAATTTCCCATCCAAGATGATTGACAGAGATAAAAGAAATACTGACTATAATCATATAATGTGTCCATGGACTTTTTTTGCCCATCAATGGCATATGAACGTTTCCAAACGTTCTTGTCAGCCGAACCGCTTAGATGTAAAATATTTAATTCAAGTACCCCATGAGATTTTAAGCTAATATTTCAATAATTTAACAACACATTTGCAGGTTTGTGGTTCCCTGATGTTGGTCACATGATGCAAGTGAACAGATAAAACATATACATTTTTTAGTAAGTGTTTTATTTTGTTTATTGTTTACTATTGTATTATTATTTTAACACTAATTAAATTGAAGACTTATTACTGTTGTAATATAACTAAGTACTCATAATTACAGTATATTACATTACATATATATACAGTATATTACAAATTACATTACTAATTACAGTTTTCATAATGTAATCTATAATCAGTAATGGACTATATGATAATTATCGTCCTAATAATTATTGACACTGCAAGTTACAATTCTAACAATTCAGTCTTAAATTCTTCACTTTCAAACGTTTAAATCATCAAACTTTTGGCAGAATACTGGTAAAATGCTACAAACTCTACGAAATAGTGCAAATGTGTAAATAAAGTGACCATTGTATTCCCATTTCAATAAGCAGTAATCAGGAGTTTATTAAGGTTTAATAAATTCTTAGTTACTAGTAAATATGTGTTCCCTAATCTAAAGTGTTACCCTACCTATTTAATTCAATCGCAGCATTTGATTTTCAAAATCGTGCTAAGCTATATGAACAGTTACTGATTAACTGTGCAGGTACATTTATTTATTTTAATTTTACATACGATTTAATTATAAGCATTGTTCAACTCTGGTGTAGGTTTAAATGCTCTTAGTTTGGTTTGAGTTTGGTAAAGTTGTTAACCTTCAAAACAGATATGAAACTACTGCTAAAAGAAGCATGGCTGAGAAGTAGGGCTGTCAAAATGGCTGAAAAACTAAATTTGAATTTTGGACTTTAATATTATCAAAATTCGAATTATATTCTAATTTAAAATGCATAATTTCAGTTATGGTGAAGAATAGCTTTTGGCTTCTCTTCTGATGCCACAAGAGGGCGCATCGACCAAATATTACTAATGCACGTTTATTCAAAGCATAAGATAACGACTATCTGCGAAAAAAGTGCATAATGTTTAAAATAATGTTTATAAACCAATTATAATTAATTCAGTTGATTAACTATAAACAAAACAGCATCATGTATGTATGTATAGTTTAATACAAAGTGCCGAAAGCCAATCACACAGAGTACTTTTTTAATTTAAAAACATGAGATGCAGTGGGATGGGGAAAAAAAACGCCATAAAGTCTCGATATATGTTTTTTTAGATAGAAAAAGATAGAAAATGCGCGAAATATGTGTTCTGTGTGAACGGCTTGGTTTCAGTTTTGACGCAAGCAAGATCTTCTCCGCATTGATGTTCTCTTTTTCCGCAATATTTTTAATGAACAACGCAGCAGCGCCGCATCTAGTGGCTTCAACTGGATAGGTTAACAAAAACATTATAATGCAACGACACTTACATCGTCATCGCATCTTGTGCGCCACTGATAAGGCTGCCTCCTTAACGCACACCTAAAATTCGAATGCAACGCTTTTGCATTCGAATGTGGATTTTTATTTCAAGTTCGACGACTATTCGAAATTCAATTTTGTTTTTGACAGCCCTATTGAGAAGTAAGAAGCAGTACTTTTGGTGTCATCGAGGTCTCTGTCTCTGTCCCTGGAGAGTTCAGTCTGTGGGTCTGGAGGCGTCTGCAGCACGGCCACACTGTTCTGGTTTATGATCTTCAGCTTGAGTTTGGGTTTGGAGCGTCTCCGCCGCGAGGCTGCATTGGCGAGACTCTGGAGCTGCGACAGGCCAGACTCTGTGAGACAAACACCGTCCTGGGTGTACGTCCTCGTCAGCTCTGTGGAGCAGAAACACAGAGGAACCTCATTGGAAAAACAAAGAAACCACTCAAAAGAACGATTTACTCTCAAATCGCACATTACTATGGCTTGTGAGAAGGTTTTACTCTACAAAGAATAACATATGTCTTTAATAGCTAAGCATAACCAGAATTAAATATGGAGATTTCAGCAATACTTCAAGGTTCCATTAGTTAAAATTAGTTAATACATTAACAATAAGCAATACATTTGTTACAGTGTTGATTCAACTGTTCATTATTTGTTCAGGTCCATTAAATACTATTAACAGATACGACCTTTGATTTTAACAACATATGTAAATGTTGAAAATTAACATGAACTAAGATTAAAAAATGCATTCAAAGTAACATTATGTAGTTAAAATGTTAACAAAATGGACCCTTATTGTATAGCGTTACCAAAACATCTTTCAATTTACTATAATTTGACACTTTTGTAAATATGTTTAAAACTATATAAATAAATACACAAACAAACCGTAATGTTTTCGTAAAATGACATCGTTACCAGGATCTCTTGCTTTTGTGACTCTCTGCGGCATGAGAACAGACTCGACTAAATCCAAACAAGACTTGGCCGGCGTTCCAGGCGCTGTGTAACGAACACACAAATACACAATGTCAACCAAAAAACGATTTATAAACGTAAAACAGACTGGATTGTGCAAAAGCAGTGTTTACGGGGAGAGAGGGGGGTGTAGCCTTGGCACAGATTGCAGTCAAAGCTGGTATCGGCAATCTTCTCCACCTCCTCCTCTGAGTGGATTCCCTGACACGAGGCATGCATCCACCTGCACACACAGAAACGGCAAATTTGTACTACAGATATGAATGATACATACATGCATAAAAAAAAATATCATATATATATTAGTGCTGTCAAACGATTATTCACATCCGAAATAAAAGTTTTTGTTTACATAATATATGTGTGTACTGTGTATATTTATTATATATACGTGCATGTGTGTGTATTTATATATATATCCATAATAAATATACACAGTAAACACACATATATTATGTAAGCAAAAACTTTTATTTTGGATGCGATTAATCGCGATTGACTGATTTGTAAGCTATAGCATACAACTGTTAAAATTACACAATGAAGTTTTCAAAATAATAAAGTTACAATTACATAATAATATTTCTACTTCAATTCGTTTTTTTAAATATAAAAATGTAAATGGTGGCTGTCATAAAAAATTGATGGATTTATTCAAACAAATTAAACATAAGAACAGTAAAAATTATAATGAATATGTTGTACAGTTTATTTTTCTGGCTGACTAATGAGTTTATGATCACTGAATATGTTTGTTTCTGAGATAAATGTGACGTTACATGACATTGTTTATGTTTACAAGACTTTATATTGACGTCTTTGCACGGCTGAAACACTGATTGAGCGATTACATGAGACAGGATACAGATTGTAAAGTTGTACTCTTTCTTTTAACTTACCTTAGGATGTTTTCAAGGCAGTATCATGATTATTTTGTGCTGAAACTGGTATTAAT